TTTGTTTGTTTTTGTTTTTTTTTTTTAATTGAAAAGAAAAGGGTATGCAGTTAAGGCACAGTGCAGTTCTTATTGGTGTATCAAAGAGGTTACTTACTTTGGGAAAAGTGAAGACCACCCTGGGATGAAGCCAGGGTCTCTGGTGAACCACAGTAGAGTCATTAGGATGAATAGGACAAGTGTAACAATTTCTGGGTAGCTATAACAGAAACAGAATGGGTTATAATTTTTTGAATTCACACTTGAATTTGCTTACTTTTGTTTGCAGCTGTATACTTTTATATACCTTATTGGTCCAAGCTTCTTGTACTCCTTCTGAATCACCTGTGCTGAGGCCTCTTCTCTAGCTGTTTTTTTCTTGCCACACTTGAGCATGTTTTTAAAACTGGAATGTAGATCAGCAATATTAAATGATGAATTAACAGTGTACACATAAAAAAAGAACAAAGTCCAAACTTTCCTTTACAAACAACACTTTACAAAAGTAAAATTGTCACTTTACAATGCATTATCTCCCATTTAATTATCACACACCAAACTGAGCACATTGGAATTAATTGACAAAGCCCAGTGGGAGATTGACAGAGGCAGCAACAAAATGTGTCCTGTTATTGACTAGCTCATTTGCCCAGGAAGGATGAAACTTTAATCATGGGAACTAATTGAAACAATCAAACACATAACCTGGCTATTTAATGAAAGTCATTTATGACTTTGCTTTACTCAGTTTTGCAATGACAAAGTCTGTATCGCATTAGTAGCCTGCCTACTGATCATCAGTCTATTTGCTACAAGCTATGTTTTTATTCTTGAATAAGACCCTTACACAATGTTAAAAAGAACACTATCAAAACAAACAAGAAAAGTGAAACAATAAATGTTCGCTTTTATAGTGGTAAGAGTGGGATGATTTTAAGTCTGCTTAAGAGCAGACAGTCTCACTCTTCATCTCTTGCACCATAAGTAGCTTTGTAATTGTGGAAGATGGGTGTCCCCACTATTATCTCTGCAGATGTTAGTGAACTCATGGAGAACAAGACTGAAGAATCAGCCTCAATAAAGTATTGACCTCTAAAAAACCTTAAAATTACAAGTTCTGTGGAGAAAAAACCCAACATCCTACCACCACATATAAATTTTGGAAAAGTGGAAGTTTTTTACCTCATGTTTACAAATATAGTCATCCAGTTTATAAACCAGATATTGCTCAAGCATTCAAGCCAATCCCTTGAACTGGCTCCAGGAAAGAGCAACATCCTGGCTATAAATGTTGCAGTATTAGACCAAAATACATAAAATTTCAGTATTCTTCTGTCTTGCACATGTACACTGTTAATGATGATATGTGTATATTCTAAAGGAATGGCTATCATAATTTGTGATATAGACCTTTCACACTGGGCTGAGTAGTCAAGGATCCTTATTTTAAAAAATTCTTGTCTCATCCACGGACTCAGCCATACACTGTAACAAGTGTAAACAAGGATGTAAAATCACCATTGTGGCATTATCTTCCTATTGAGCCTGGTAAACTTAGAGGTAATATTTACTTCTGGTACAAAGTACTTCTTATGTCATCAAGCTTTAGTTTTACTGATTACAACATTTACTTACTCAAACCCAAGGAAAATCCACTGGAGCCAGATCCAGGAGAGCAGCAGAATAATAACTGCGATGGGGAAGGAAAGGATAAACCAGGATCCAAAATTGATGCACTGACAAGTTGGGTAACGTCTGGATGAAAGTAAAAAACTGTTCAGTTGAGGTTTGCAAAGGAATGTAGAGTTGTGAGAAGTGCCAGAAAGCCCTGCTGCAAGAGCATGCTTCTTGCTAGTAGCTGATTTCAGCATGAGGTGGCCTCTGGTGTCCTCCTCCCTCACCCTCCCATGCTATTCCTGATCATCAAGACCACTACAGGAACTAGTTGTGCCAATCATTTGAGCACTGGATCAGCAACAGGTCCCAAGACCTGATACTGATCTAGGTGTGCCTAACCTGAGTTCAGTAAGCAAAGAAGGGCTACTCAGTATTAAGAACCATTAAAATGACAAACAGAACTTGAAGAAAAGCCATTCTTTGAGAGGAGACTTTAGCACAAGAAAATATACTCAAATGAACAAGCTCCAGTGAACTTAGAAGACAACGGTGGAGACAACATCAAGACTTGCATTGTTTAAGATTCCATAAGGGATTCAAAAACTGATTAAAACCAGAATTATTATTACTAATTTCTAGGAAAGGCAAGAATGCTCATTTATTAAGTGGATTGTCTCTCTAGTCACCTTGTCTCTTTGAGGCTGTCTTCATTTATTCTTTATAGATGTGGGCCATTCAAACAGAGCTCTCCCTGCAATGTGCATTTAAATAGGAGAAACAGGCATTGGTTTTCTGAAAGAAATGAATTTACAGTTTAATGAGATAGATGTTAGGTAGGCAAAAAGGCCAGGAAAATTAATCTTGTTTTCCAATTTACTTTATGAACAGAAGTTATTCTTCCTTTGAGCTTCTCCAGTATCACTGAGAGAGCTTTTAATGCTAAAAGTAAGAAAATTCTAGTCTCCTTGGACAGCCTTCCTCTCTGATATAAAAATCAGATGGAAAGAAGTTCACAATGTCCACACAGAGATTGCAACAACTATTTCCAATTATTAGCCAGGTATTTCAGGCCTGTCTAGAAGAAAAGGAATTCTGATGGTGACATAGGTCTTTGGTGCAGCAAATGCTCATTATAAATGCTCTCTCAAGTACTGTGCAGATTTTAGTATTAATATATATTTATTATGATGTTTATATATATTGCAATTAAAGTGCCATCGGGGACTGAACCAAAACTTATACCCATTTCTTGATGTGATGCTCTATATTGCAACTGTACATAGTGATTAAATAGTGAAACTGGAACAAGAAAAAGTATCTTATTTATTTATTATGTAGCTATTTACCTTTTATTACATGATGAGCCACATCAGTTTTTAAATGTATGAATTCCAAGATAGGAAAAAACTGACATCAGCATAGCAATGACTAAGCATTTCATCACTTTCTAAACTGTTTATAATCTTCCCTTAATTGCATGTGATAATTTCTTAGTGAACAATAAAACAAGCTCTTGAAAACTTCATACTGAAGAGTCGATTTCATTATAAAATGTTAATCTTTTGTGGTCGGGTTTCACAGTAAGTTTGTGCAGGGCTGAATATATATGTAAGTATTTCTAGTAATTTTAATATTAAAGTTAGGTATTCTTCATCTTCAAAATAAATACTCCTCAGGTGACTGGATGATCCATTTAAATTATTTTAGAAATTATCATGTATATGGTGCTGTTTGGATTATATGCTATTGTTGAATTATCTATTACAGGTCTTGCCTGAGGCAACGATGGACAGGACACGCTGAACTATTTATTTTCTAAACCTATTTCCTTTGGAAAATGAAAAGGTGTGATTGATTTCAATAATCCTCACTTTACAGTGATTCAGTGCAGTAACAATAAACTCTTTCCAGGCTAATACTACAAATGTCAACAAATTTAGTTCATAGAACAAATCCAGATAAGATAATTCCTTTTATGACTTCTGTAAAATCGCTTAGGTTGAAAATAATTTGATGCTGGCAAAGTTTTACTCTTTGTGTTGGAAGGTCAAAGTCAGTTACCAGAATAGGAAAACTGGGTAACCTGTCAGTGGGCCAGACTGGAGAACCAAAGGTTTCATCATAGGATTTACTCTTCCTCAAGCACAGGAGTGTTTTCTCCTTGACACAGTGTTGTCAGGTAACCGTTTATCTCTCTAATCTCTCCACAGTATTCCCCTAACACTGGAGTGCAGCTGCCTAGGTTCCCAGAATCCATAGTCCTGCTGTTATGGCCCAGCTGTGAACCTTGGCTTGCAGTGCTTGAAAAAACTGCTTTGTGTGGGAAAGAGCTGTGAGAAAGTCTCTACAGAAGAGTTATGTAAGATTAGATAGATGAAACTGCAAATGTAAGAGAACCAATATGGGGATCTACAGCAGCCTGAAGGATTCAAGAGGAAAAACACTAATACAGAAAGGGTTAAAATATTAAAGGAAAAACATATGGAGTCAGAAGAAAGGGACCCAGCATCACCAAGGACCTGCTCCAGGGAGCAGTGAGGACCAACCCATCACATTCTTAACTGATACCTCCCTGACCAGGAAAGGTTTCTGGGTATCCTGTGGACAGTGATGAGCAGACTAATGTTTAGCCTACTAGCTGGCTACACAACTTGGTGTGTTAGCCAAGACTTCTCCAGTTTTCTTTTTTTTTCTTTTTTTTTTTTTTTATGCTTAGATATTCTAAAGTCTATATTGTAGTGTCTCTTTGCATACAGTTAAGAGTGAGCCTGAGAGGATCACTAACAATTTTTTCTTAAACAGGAGCCCTTATGGAAGTTTGTGTCACTGGCAGGGATGCTTAGCATTGCATCAACATTTCCACTGTTGCTTCTGCCTTATGGATCACAGCATAATTACATGTCCTAACTCAACAGCAGGCTGGGGACTTCCAGCAACAGGGTCCAGTGCTAACACAGATACATTGTTTTCCTTTTCATGAGGCAAATGAAAAGGAGGGAAGTAGATAACAGTAAATGTTAATTCCAATGTATTTAATACTGAAATTAAGAAGATACCAGGAATATGCTATTTTGCAGTGCCATTTTAAGTGTTTTGTCACTGAGAGTGGGAAACCTGGAAATACGCTGTATGTGCAGCTCTTCTGCTGAATTATTCTGCTTCAGTGCTTGCGATACATGAAAGTGGACTGCAAATGTGTCCAAGTCATGCTAATAAGTCAATTCCCCGTTCAGACAGGGCATAAATACAAATGAGGCTTTTAAGGAGAAGGAAAGAAAAATAGTTAAAGATAAAAATATTTGCACAGTTAGGTGGTAGATTCATCTTAAGTTAAGGATTAGTCTCAGTGTTTGTGGAAAGATTAAACAAAATCCTAGTAGGGTATAAAACCAGATTACACATGCAGTGCTCATGTACGGCATATGCTCCTAGAAGAGGGTCTAGAGGCAGGGAGAGAACAGAAATCTGCTTATGCATTCTTGAAGAGATTGTTAACAGCTAAGACAAACTGGAAAACCAAATGCAAGCCAGTTTTCTTCAAGTTTCCTGTAATTTCAGGGAAATGAACAAGAACAGTTCTTATCCCTAGTAATCAGGTTTAGATTCTTCTAGGCTCCTGAGCATGAAGCCTGCTTGAACCAGAAAAAGTTTATATGTCTAAAAGTTTAAGTCTGAAGGACTTACAATGCCATAGTCTGCCCTGTGTAGTTCTTTGGCCCCAGTAATAGGCACTTTTATAATTTCCATACTGTTTCTATTGTCGCTATTCTCTTAGCACAGGCTGATTTACAAACCATACCACTTCAGCTCTCTTTAGCAGCACGCTGAAGCCAAGTTTCATCCATTTTTGGAACACAGGCTGGAAGAAAACCTATCAATAACTGGTTTTTCACTTTTTGCCATGTGCAATGAAGAATAGCGGGAAGAGGGTAATAAGAGAATTGTGCTTTATTTTGTTCTGTTTTAAAATTAGAGTGGTTTGGCAATGAGCAGTTTCCAGAAGAAAAGAAAGTTCAGCAAGAACTAGTGGTTTTTCAAAGGCTTTGGAACGAAATCTACCAATTTTCTTTTCAAAGTAGTTCTACTTAGAAAAGAAAAGGAATATTAAATAATGTTTTTAATAAGCTCAAAACCAAGTGTACCGCTGAAGGCAGAGTTTCAGACCGATTTGAACTTTTTCCTTTTTCTTTGACTAACAGACCTTAATTCCTCATTTGAACAATGCACTAAGCATAGCCTCCTGAAAGTCTCCTGATGCTCTTTGTTAAGCAGACTCAAACTTAGCTCTTTCTGTACTTAGAAATGAATAACAGTCCTTTAAGGCCAGATAATGTCTGCCTTATTCATGTTAAGTAGTGTCTTCCTTCTCAAATAAGCTCATCTTTTCCTATGCAGCTGTTCAAAGAGTAAAGTACTAGTTAATCAAAGAATGATCATCTTATTGCATGTGTTGGGTGATCACTTATAGCCTTTCCTACTGTAAGGCAAATAGAACTGTGCAGTTTCATTTTATGTCTTTAACAAAAAATAACAGAAAGTAGTAGAATCAAATAATGTCAAATCAACAGGTAAGGTTTCTAACGCATTTTAGGGGAGCCGTGTGAGAGCTCAGGAGACAACAGTTAAAATTCTGGATTAAGAAGAATACAAATAATTTAATATAGTCTCTTACGTATTGAAATGCTCAGCAAAAATCAGATTAGTTGATGTTCCTGTGATTGTGGTCAGCCCTCCAATGGTAGCAGAATAAGCAACACATAAGCACATCACTTTGAAAATCCCATTGTATTTGTTCTCTTTGCTTTTTCTCCCTGTTTCAGCAGGTGGTAGGTTCTGCTTAGAAAGAATATACACCAATTAATATATAAGAAGGGCTCATGATCAAGCAGAAAAATAGGATTCAGGGATGTCCCAGAAGAGTGAGACAATTTGCTGGCAGTAGAGCTGTACGCAGTGTGTTTTGGTTCGTTGTTACAGTAGTACTACAACTGTTCATGCAAAGGAAGAAGGGAGAGAGTCAAATCCTGAAGTCCTTTTCCTGAGCTGCCTCAGTCTTTACACAAGAATTACCTTTATATATCCAGATATACAGAGTTTGCACTCTGGTGAGGTTGGTTTAACTTGTGTAAAATACACTGGTAGCATAAAACCACTAATGAAATAAAGTACATAAGCAAACTGTGTGCATATCTACACATATATCTCTTATTCACATGGGACTAGCTTCATTGTTAGCTGTGCCATGTTAGGTGTTACAATAGAAGTGAGATTTAGGTTAAAACTAAGTTACATGCATGAGTTGTGTTATATAAAGACACCTTAAGTACCTGTTCCTTTTCTTTTTCATATTCCTTTTCAATTGTGCACACAGTACTAGCCACATCATTGTCATATCTGGAAAAACAAAGGCATGTATTTTAAAAACAGATATTCTATTTAGATTATTTCTTAGACTAGATTTTAGTAAATGAATAACTATTACCCATTAACTTGTTTTTCTTTCTCTTTACAGTCACTGCGTTCACATTCTCCTATGTTTTCTGTAAGACATTGATGCAAAGACAGGTAAGTATTTAAGGGAGCAAAACTGGAAAGGCTCCATCAGCGCGTCCCATTTCAGGCAATAACTTCACATCATCCTATGAATAAATTTACAAGTGCCAATCTCAAAAACAGCTGAGTTGTGCCCTACTCCTTCATGACTCCTATTCTGCATGGGCTGAATCTTCTAACGAGGGGAAATCTTTCTAATTTGCAATCCAACTACGTACATAATCAGTTTAGATTGATCTATTTTCCCCACATTACTCTAGAGCTTAAAGACCGCTTTTCTCTTGCTAATGTTCAACCCCCAGCTTATTTATAGCTTGTTATCGTATTTCTTTTCAAACATTTCACTAGGCTGAACAAGCCAGCCTCCTCTCTTCTCCCCTCCTCTCACATAGCTGCCATATTCTGCACCTATGCAGTTTTAGTTAATCTTTATGAACATGGGAGACCTTACACACAGTAATCCAAGAGGTCTTATAATGGAGCATGTAATGATGCTAGTATTGCCCCAGCCATTCAACTGTATTTTATGTAGTGTTTACTCCACTGCAGAATGAGGGTGGGCAAAGACAAAAGCTGCTCTGTGTGCCTACCGTCCAGCTCCAGTGTTGGGTTGATGGAGCCATTAGAGCAAGACATCTCCAGCGCATCAGCTTCTGTTTCAGCTTTGATGATCTGCTGAGCTACAGCCTCTACAATTGGCATCACCATGGCAGCAGCAGAGGTGTTGCTGAGCCACATTGACAGGAAAGCACAGCTAACCATGAAACCCAGTACCAGCCTGCAACAGGAGAGAAGAGTCTGTGGCTGCTACAGCAACACCTCCTATCACCACTCTATTTAATACAAATGGAAAGCTTTTTCAATAGAAACACTGAAAATTTAAAGCTTGTAATTGACCTCTAAGGAAGATTATGAATTACAATAATCTTGATCAAAGACACTGAAATTATCGTATTTCAGAGTTAAAGAATCAAATATATTATAAATTGAAAGAGAAACAATAAAATTTATTTACAGAATAAAGAAAAGAAGAAAAGGCTGCGTGGAGACCTCATAGCAGCCTTCCAGTATCTGAAGGGGGCCTACAAGGATGCTAGGGAGGGACTCTTCATTAGGGACTCTAGTGGTAGGACAAGGGGTAATGGCTTTAAACTTAAACAGGGGAACTTTAGGTTAGATATAAGGAAGAAGTTTTTCACAGTGAGGGTGGTGAGGCACTGGAATAGGTTGCTCAAGGAAGTTGTGAATGCTCCAACCCTGGAGGAGTTTAAGGCCAGGCTGGACAGATTCTTGGGCAACATAGTTTAGTGTGTGGTGTCCCTGCTCATGGCAGGGGGGTTGGAACTAGATGATCTTAAGGTCCTTTCCAACCCTAACTATTCTATGATTGTATGTCATCAGTTCAAAAGAAATTTAAAATGGCTGTACTGCTAACGCTATTAATCCGCTATTGTACAATATTGGGATTGTTTTTGCTTCAATAAACATAAATATTTGATACTAAATGAAAAAATGAAGGTCATTACAATATCTTAGTCTGGCACATCATTCGCTAAGTTTACTACAAACAGGAATTGTATCTCTGCAATTCCTGATCGTACTGATGCAGTGTACTGAATTGGATCAGTGACTGGAGACACTCTAGGTTTTCACTACAAAAATCAAATATTCCATGCCATATCTGGTGAAGTTAGGGATTAAACTTAGAATACGGGCCACATTGTCATTTTTAATGCATCTCCTGCAGTTGTAAATGAGACTAGTCTTCTTGACTTCTTGTCCCAAGGTGTTGGCAGCGCCATTAAACACCTGCTATGGATCACAACACTGAGACAAAAACTGTGAGTGAGGGGACTGTGATGTTGCAGCATTCATGAAATTTGCAAAGCTCTTTGCCTAGCCTTGATCAAAAGCTTCACAAAAACTGTAAGAAGTAGTACCCAGCATGTGAAGACAAGATTGTATGCAAAAATAATATAATCAATATTTAATGACACAAAAATAACAGTCAAAATGCCTCTCACAGCCTTTCATTTCAGCTAATAGCAACAACATTTCAAACTTGATTTTTTCTCAGTAGGAGAACCTTGTCTTCTGTGCACTTTTAATTGCACAATGATGAAATGATCTGCAGACCTGCAAGTGGTGGACCTGATGCAACAAAAATTGTCAATGGTAGTATAAAACCCATTAACTTTATGCAGTTTTTGATTAGGTGCTCAGATGGAAGTTGGGGAAGATTTGTGTTCTTAGCATAGATTTTTATGCAGAAAATACTGGTCAGGCTAAGCACACTGTATATGAATATTCACATT